TCTGGGCCAGTACTGCACTGTGTTTCAGGCGGAAATTTTCGCTTTATTGATGGCGGCCAGAGAGGTGCTTCGGCTCAACTACGGAAGCAGGAGAGTCTTCTTCTGCTCGGATAGTAGGGCTGCACTCATGGCGCTGAAGTCAGTGCGTACGCGCTCCTTGTTGATAAAGGAGTGCAAAGGGGTACTGAGGAGGGTGGCTGAGGAGAGAAAGGTCACGTTGGTCTGGGTTCCGGGTCACACCGGTGTCCGGGGCAATGAGGCAGCGGACGCCTTAGCCAGGGAGGGCTCCTCGCATAGGCATATAGGGCCAGAGCCCCGCTTGGGGATCGCCCCGTGTGTGAGGCGGGGAGCTCTCGAAGCCTGGGCGAGAGACCGGGCCGCGGGGGGCTGGAGAGTTGCTCCGGGAATGAGGCAGGCGAGGCTTATGATGGATGGGCCCGCCCTTCCTCGGACCAGGGAGCTGCTTAGACTGACCAGGAGGGAGTGTAGAGCACTAACAGGGGCCTACACAGGACATTGCAGGCTTAGGAGGCATCTCTGCTTGCTAGGCATTGGAGACGACCCGGAGTGTAGGTGGTGCATGGAAGGGGAGGAGACCCCGTATCATCTGCTCACCGAGTGCCCTGCCTTGACATGGGCAAGATTGGGAGTCTTCGGAACGGCCCTGATCGATCCGGACTCAGTGCACGGTATTGGGCTAAAGGATTTGCTGACCTTCTACAGGAGGGGCGGCATTCTGGACGCCCTCTAGAGCGGCCTGGGGGCACAACGGGCCCATCTGGTGGCCTAAGTGCTTGGACGCCCGCGAGGGCGCCCCCCTTTAATACCAATACCAATACCAATACTACTCTACACATATTCATCATAAGTGGCCATATAACTCCTCCCTCCTCAAATCTGAGAAAATAGATTTTTGATTTTCGAGAGTTCTATGCCCACCCTTACATTTTGTTTCATTTTCAGATAATAACAAAATACAATAATTACTATTAGTGGAATTATAACAACAACTATTACAGTGATTGAAACACTAGAGTTTACCAAGGTTAAGTGTTTTAAAGGATGATTTATTAGATTTCGAGCACTTTCTATGTCTTCTTTTATATTTACGACATTAATTTCTCAAAAATGCAGTGGTTCCATATTTTGAACCACTTCTTCATTAATAGCTATTGACGGAAGTTTTAGTCTCCTTTTTGTGACTCGTAATTATAATTTATGATATATAATTTTAATAATAATTATGATAGAATTATCATTTAATTGGGTAGTTGAAGTTTCTTTATATTCAACTGGAATCATTGGACAATGATTAGATAAATTAATTATTTGTGGAATACAGGGTTCGTTTTTGTTGAGCAGATTACTGGGGCAGAAAGATATGTCCTCGATTTTATAGATACGTGAATAGATAGATGGTTTATTGACTACTTTACGATATAATTGTTGGTAGCAAGTCATACAAAAAAAAATTAATTGAATATTTGTAAGTATATATTATGTATATTAAAAGATAATAATTGGTATAGGATATATACGGTGGAGATCATAAGGATTATTAAAAATGGGGTATGGCTACGTAAAATATGACGCCGCCAATATAATTTCAAAATATGAAACTCGTATTTAAAAAAAAAAATTTTATTTATAATACAAGTATACACAATAATTACTACAAGCAACTTAAAGACTGTCTTATGTCCGCGTATTTATATATAGTTGCTGAATAAGCTCTAGCGATACTACTCTATACACACTCATCATAAGTGCCATGTCACTGAACCATCACGGCAGGCTGTTAGCTTGTGTATCAAATATCATCGAAACATTATTAAAAAAAAACGAAAGTACTTTTTTAATAGTAAAATTATTTTAATTTTTCTTTTACTCTGCAGTCAAAGACAAAAACCATCACCTACGCAGAAGATCAAGAAGACTAGTTTTTTCTGTCAACACAAAATGGTTATTAATATTTAAAAAAATGAACGCTAGAAAAATTGCAACATTTTCATAATATTTTGTCTGCACTTACTTTTATTTTAAGCTCGATATAGTTAAATGCACCTGAAGCATGAACCAGCAAATGCGATTAAGCTTTTGAATTTCCTGTATTATGATTACACGCGCTAACTTGGAAATAGTTTTCAGCCATTTTCGTTAATTGATTTTAGATTTAAAAAGTTGAACAGCACAGGTTTCGACAAACTAGTCAGGCAAAAATTGCAACATTTTCATAATATTTTGTCTGCACTTACTTTTATTTTAAGCTCGATATAGTTAAATGCACCTGAAGCATGAACCAGCAAATGCGATTAAGCTTTTGAATTTCCTGTATTATGATTACACGCGCTAACTTGGAAATAGTTTTCAGCCATTTTCGTTAATTGATTTTAGATTTAAAAAAGTTGAACAGCACAGGTTTCGACAAACTAGTCAGGCAATCTTACTAGTTCCGGTATTTAGATATTAAAGCTTCGTTCCAACTGTCTCTTTCATTGAATAAGAACAACTGAACTTCATTCTGGAACACAAAAGTGAAATAACAAACACCTAAGATATGCTTCTTCTTCTTTACATCTTGCAAGTAGTTTTTTTTGTCTATTGCATGTCGTAACAGCTTATCTAACTTTCGTACATTCGTAAATTCATAAACAAATATTCAAAAATTGGTGTTACTACAAGCAAACGCTTCAAAAAAAATTTGATAATGACTGAAAACAGACTGCACATTTTATTACATTACACGACGATTAAAGACCTCAAACATCAATTAGGCCAAAATAAAATTCTGATCCAGTCCTATTCTTCGGAAAATTATAGTGTAAAATACGCGGAAGAAGTTCAATCTTAACCATTTTGGAGGACCGAGATCCTCCTCGAATCCTTATTTACAGTAGTGACTTACATTCCAATGCGTTAGGAGTTTTCTAGGTTGTATCAGAATATTTAGACCATAGTCCTGATCCATTCTGAGCCCATTTGCTTTCAGTAATAAAATATTATATCGCCAAGGGCATACGATAGCGATAGTCCAAGTACGCAATACCTGAACAAAAAATGTTTTTCCTCTTTTGCGGAATGTCACTTGCCACAAGTCTTACCGGAATCATTATCCAGTTCAGAGCGCAAAAGACAAAAAAATATGAAACAACTGAACTGAACGGCAGATAAGAAGTAAACATTTCTTTGCAGATGTTTGTAGGTTAAACACTGGTGTAAAGTGTCATCCTTGGTATATGCGTCTCAGTGTGTGAATGTAAAGCATCGAACAATGTCCATTTTTTGACGAAATATTTGGAGAGAATAGGTAGGCTTCTTTGTGATTTTGGATGTTAATGCCTTCCTTGGTCGCTGCAGTTACTAGAAACTTCCTTCGACAAGCTAAATTGAAAAAGTTTACTTGGCCAGCAAACTCACCTAGCCTTTTGAACATGATGATGGATAGGTGGAATGCTGAGTATGCTCCTTCACTTTATATTGGATATATCGTCTATATCGTGGCCGTAGTAGTAGTATCCTAGAAGAATCGCAAGCAGACGTAGATCATATGGTTCGCAGTATGCCACCAAGGATTACAGATTGCACACGTACGTGGAGACGAAAAAGTTATCGAGTGAACTATTCGTTATTTATCCCAACTACTTCCCAATATATTAACTAAACATATATTTTTATTTACTGGGTGCAGTTGCTTTAAGATTTCCAAAAAGAGAAAAGTCGTATCAATATGGGATAAGTGGGTAATGTTACGCAATTTACTTTCCGGAAGTCCGGGATGCTTCTTGGAACTGCCATGAATCAGGATATTGTAAAGAGTACTTTCTTTTAATACCGGTAATATGTTGGTTTCTGCAGAGCTTAACTAAAACTGGTTTACATTCTGCTCTATACATGCTTATATATTGTTTGAGGGAGGGGAGGGAGGTGTGCATGTTTCAGATGACTGGTTCCCATATTCATGAAGGGCAAAGACCTAAATCGCTGTTACGAATGTTTGTTTGTAGAGATTTTTATGAATTCTCGGACTTTTCTTTGGTAGAAAACTTTATTACATTGCAGCATTTTAGTTTGATCGATAAAATTGATGTTGGATTTCATAATTACGTTCGGCAGTTGCTGGTGTCAAAGGGAATTGTGTCTTTGAAAGATCGGAGATTTCTGGACAATTGGTAAATCTGGTGTTAACATTATATTCCTTAAAAATTTTTAGCAATATTTTGAATTTAGGGAAGAATCACAGTCGCAAGTGTGGGGTTGATTTTTGTTGTGTTGGTATTTTATAATGCTTAATGTGAAAATAGAGAGAAGAGAAGATGTAAAGTGTTTCAATTCTGGATTCAGTGACTCGGGTTGAGATATTTTTATGTCTAAGTAAACAAGAGAGTTAATAACCCATAAGTTATGGGCCGGATGGTGATGTGATAATGCATTAATGTAAGAATCTCTAAGAATCGGAGACTATTATCAATTTTTAATTTAATGGTAAAACGTAAATTAGGGGGTACAGAGTTTACATGGTTGAGAAAATCTTGAAGTGATTATCGACCATGAGGTCAAATTACAAAACTATCAACGTAGCGTCTTCGTAGTTTTGGTTACAGACGGCAAGAAGCCCTCGACACTTTCCTGAGAAAATAAATATAAACTTTTCATTTTCCGGATATTTTTAAAAACTACAATAAATCTTAGTTTCAACGACTACGTCACTAATGTAACACATTTATGAAAAATGAAGTCACTTGCCCAAAAATTTGACTATATATAAACTAACAGTAACGACTCACCAATATAATGCAATACTTAACAGACCTAATTCAACAGGAATGAATATGTCCTAACGATATTTTAACAAGCGTATGACCGTCTTTATTAAGGTATTTATTGTCCGCGACGACCACATTCGAAAATTACAAAATGGTTTTCAAATGGCAAGTTCGCACATTTTATCGCATTCACTGCTTCTTTCAATTTCATTTTTTTTATTATTGAGTTATTAAGAAAATATAGAAAAATCGAAATTCTTTTACGTTGGTTCGCTTTGCAAGAAATAGTTTCGACCGCCGCAACCGTTTCATTATTTACAGATTCCGGTGTCGATTAACCACAAACAAGGATAACTCGAAAAAAGCACTTTTGCGCAAAAACGCTAAAACATTTCACACACGTATATTATTTTTAGATCGAAAGTTTTTAATACGATTTGGGCGACTGCAAAAAAATCCCCTCGTGAAAAATTTCTCGTCCCTTTTACCGAAATGCATATTTAACGGAAAATATTGGCAGCCAAATTTGTTTTCGGCGTTTCTGTAACGCTTGGGTTGTGTAAACATGAAATGTCCCTTGCCATAGCTAAATAAACTTCTTTATTTATAGGTTGTTTTCCTTGCAAGGCGGAGCCGAGGGCCCTCTATCTACTATTTGGAAAGATTTAGTTCGGTTCTGTGGTGAGTGATGTTGACAAAAAAATTAATATAGCTAATAGGTTTTCATCAAGCACGACGAATTCACAAATCGTTGTACGTAAAAAATGACAGTTAAAGTGCAGTTGGTGATATTAGTTTACGCGTCCTTTGTTTAAGCAATTTAAGCATGATTTTGTTGTAACGGCATTCGAGTTTATTTGGAGTGACTTAAAAACTTTTCCGACGACCGTTACGCATCTTGTGTACATTTGGGAACCTATGGACAACATTTACCCCTGTCACTAAAATATAGAAAAGTAATATAAATTAGTATATAAATGCAACAAGTTTTATGAACGACTTCTTTATCACGAGTTTTCATAAACGAGAATATATATATATATATATATATATATATATATATATATATATATATATATATATATATATATATATATATACTTACTTACTTTTTACTAGTTTAAAAACACCTAATCGTAAATGCGGTCACATATTTGAACTATTTCTCTTTATAATGGTCTGTGTGTAGCACTGAACCGATGTTTCAGTCAGTCATAATGTCCCCTATACCGTCGTCAAAAACACCTGCGGCTATTATTAGAGCAGTAGGAGTAGAGAAGTGCAATTGCATCTGGCATTTCAGTTCGATTCCTTTAAGACATCGGTATGTATTAATCCGCCTGACAGTTTCCTATAGACATATAATATGTATCTATACAATTAGCTATAAGGATGAAATAATATCACCTGTGCTGACTGACTGACTTGCTGTCGCCACATCTAACTATAACCATATCGCCTATTTTAGGCCATTCTCGATCACCTGCAGAGAAGCCTAAAGGCAAAATGTTTCTACTGTCGTAAAATCATCTATTAAAAGAACAAGATTGCTGGTGCTGTGGATTTTGGTTCCTCATTTTTGCAAATAACATACACGTCAAGACAAACCAACCCATATAAGGGATTTATTACCCCGAGTACATAATATAACATACATAACGTTATTACGATGTTCACGTTACCATTTTTATGTTGTATTTGCCCAGTTATAACAGTTTAAAGGTTTATTTCGAGTTGATTTAAGCGCAATATTCTTATTCTATTTGAGAGCGATCATCAATACGTAGCGATGGTAAAATAAATGTGGTATAGTTTGTTATTGACATCAATAGAGATTCATACAATTTTATAAGAAATTTCAAATTCGTGACACCGGCATTTATACAGAGATCTTTAATATACTTTGCTATAAGTCTATACTATAAGTCGGGAGCAATAGTATTAAAATAAACATATATTTGGAATTGGGTAAAGTTCTCGACGATTTTAACAAATGTAAGAAAGAATGTTCCAAGAGTCTGCGCAAACAAAGTTGATTTAAGTGCAATATTATTATTCTAAATAAAATTAATTAACTAATCTATCATAAATGAACCGTTCCTGACGATAGACCCTGCGATTAATATGAAGTATCTATTCCACGCTGCTCCAGATCAAGTTTCCGGTGTATTCAAACTTTTCCACGTAGAAGTTTCGCTTCTCAAGATAGCCAATAGTACTCTGAAAATTTCGCAATTCTCAACAAAAGTAAGATAATAAAAATAACTTCATATGATATTAAAAGCAAATCACTCATTTCATTTTTTAGTATACGGAAGACAACGGATCTGAATCACCAAAAAGCCTTCTGCAAAATTGAAAGTCAAAATTCTAAACTGTAGGTTGAGTTAGGGAATTATTGTTAAATTAAACGTAACTCCCACATTATTTATATTAAACCGCTTACACATGAATGGCGAATTTAAAATAAAAATGTTCCTATCGAATTCCGGCAAAATTACAACGAGCGATTCACATATAAAATAAATTATTTATAGAAAAAAAGTGCACGAGCACTGCCCATTTGTTATTTAAACAACCGCCGTACGTTTCAATTCCGCGAGATAAAAATGAAACTTTTCCACCGAACAATTAAAGTATTACTTTTAACATTTTTAATTCCATTAAACTAATTGCGTTGCCCAGGAGTTGCAGTTGGCATTTCAGGCCATTTTAATTTACAGAATTCCCCTATTTTTCTAAAACCACTTGGCTGTCAGATATAGATCATAATTCTCAGGGAGACGAGAATTTATTATTCGAGTTGTGGTAGAAATTTCTGCCACTGCTGTGCCTGGACTGTGTCAAATTACCTCAATTTGTTCATTGCGCATCGCTTTTTCTGTGTTATGTTGCATGTAGACAAACTTGTTACTTTACAAGTTGGTTTTATTTTACTAAAACGGTAACAGACAGAATATCCTGGGCATTAATTTTTGTTAAATGCTATTAAGACTATATTTAAAAAGCTTAAGCAATATTTTCGACACTGTGTTTGGAATATATGTTAATAATACTAAAATCTGAAAATGCTTGAAGAAAAAACAAATAAAATAATCCGCAACACGTCCTGATATTGAATATTGGTAAATGTCAATTTGTGGGTGAAAATTCCTAAAGGTTTTTAAGAGGGGCTAGCCTAGATTATAAATTTTATGAGATATTTCGTCTTATTTCCTTAAGCTATAAATACATAGGGTTTTGAATTCAATTTTGCATAGCGATTTTGCAATCATATTATTCACACAATTTTATTAGAAATTTAGAAATTTGTGACACTAAATTGTACTATGACTGTACTATGATTTTAGCGCAATCCTGACTGAAAGTCGGGGACAATAGTATTGGAACAAGCATATATGTGGGATTGGAAAGATTTTAGCAAATATAAGGGTCAATGTTATCGGTCTCAATCGATCACGGATCTAAAAAGTTCCAAGAATGTCGGTAAACAAAGTTTGAATGCGGCTATCCCCTTATATATTTTTTTAATTTTGACAAAGATTGTCAAATCAAGAGATAGAGATCTTGCGGTATTTTAAATATCAAAATTAATTGATTATAGTTGGACATCTGTTTAATTAACTATATACTATTGCAACCACTTACAAATGAATGACGAATTTAAAATAAAAATGAAAATGAAAAACGAAAGAAATAAAAAGTTTTAATTTTATTTGCATTGGTTAGCACCTCCAATAACTCCAATTTCCGTTCAATTTTATACTGGTAGTGTTAATGGCGTTCCAGCTATTTTTGGAGTATAGTTCTTATCAAAACCTTCGACACTCGCCAATGTCAAATTTTTATATTTACACAGTGATTTATTTATTTCTTTCATTGAAGATTTAGCAATACGCAGCATCTATACCAGTTTTGCATTAGCTGTAAATCCGGAAATTTTATTAGTCGCACACGAAGTCTTTGTAGGAATAACAATGACTTCACTGACGTCTCCTAACAGCGACGTTAAAAGAGGCGACATAATATTCAGTGCGTTCCGTGCTTATACTACTAAAAAATATTTATTTAAGTATTACAAAAAATGTGCACTTCTAACCAGCAAAATAAATTATGTCTATTTCCCAAACTTAAAGTAAGTTTTCTAATTTATGGCTATAGTTTTTACATTATTTAATTCAAACTATTGTTCAGTAATTAATGTTACCCTTTTGGAATGTAGTGTTAGGTTTCGTAATTGTTTCTTATGTTGATGAGTAGATCGTAAGTGGAGTGTTAGTGGTTAATAAACGAGGGAATGAAGAAATTTGTCATACTCTACTTTTTGCCACTATCAGTGACGTCTGATGTGGCAGTCAGAGTTGAAAGTAATATCACCACCGGTCGTACTGTCAATAAGTAATCTTAAGTATTTTATGACGTTGTAAATCAATGACGTTTACGAAAATATTCAGACAAGATTTTTGTCATTTAATATACGGGTTGTTAGGAATATTTAAGGTGTGTTTAGTTTTCCTTAGTTTTCCACATTATAACGTCATTGACTTATAGTAGTATAATATTGGGTTAATGACACTCAATTCTCAACGATTTCCTTCAGTCGCTTAGCGTGCGTGACATTCTAAAAATATAGTTGCTGTTTCACGAATATTTATCATAAAATGTTAGTTACACCATTCAGTTAATAAGTCACTAGATGTGCTGCACACATAATTGTCTGAAATTTCTTCCTTCCCTCACTAGATAATTGTTTTTAAAAACATACAAAAAACATAAAAACTTCGTATACACTACACAGTCGAACGACAATACTTTGAAAAAATACTTAAATCGGTGTTGCGTATTAATTTAAATTGTTGGTCAAAAAATGTCAACTAATAAAGTGAGAACCAAGAGCTTGTAACATAATTAATTTAAATAACTAACCGGTAGAAGAACTTGTCCATGGCATGGAGCAGGGAACCAGAAAACTAGTCTGCTTTATTAAATTGGAAGTAAATAGGTAAAACTGACATCTTACGTGTATAATAAAAATTAACAAAAAGTTACTAAAATAAGTTTTAAGAAATATTATCACTTTTTAAAATATTTTTCTACTCACTACTGGGGCTCTTTTGCAAAAATTGACCTATTCATGGGGTCAAATCAAATTGTGACTAAATGGCATTTATCAACCTTGTTGAATAATATAGATTAATGTCGAAATGCATGGATACTTATGTTTTGGGTATAACATTTTTTCATTTTAAAAACCTATATTATATATAAATATTTTTTCACTAGTCCAATTTATTATTAAGTTCACAACCAAATAACGTGTCGAAAGCAACCTTGCAGAAAATAAAGAGGTGAAAGATATCCGATCGATCTTCAAATATAATAATAAATGAGTGTTAAAGTATGGTATCATTTTTCCACTATAAAAGCCCTTTTGTGATTTATTCTAGTTTGAATTTCGTTACGAAGGCCAAACGAAGGCTTAATTTTTCTAAGTTTTGCTATTTTCATCGAATTACTAAGTTTTCTATTAAAAACGAATTGATTACTTGACAGCACGATTTAGACTAATACTTCATTTAGTTCAATAGAAGTTGCTAGTAATGGAGAAGGTGGAACAAATTTTTATAAAGATGGGACTGCCTGGAAGAGGTGTTACTATACTTCCTTTTTAATTTACTAAAAGTCCTCGGATGCGCCTTTGACGAAAAAGCCTCAAAAAAGGTCCGTCATCTTGAAAATTGGTACTTTTGGATAAAATCTTGTTATATCTCCAAAACTACTTATATCAAAAAATATCAAAAAATATGTATTTCCAGTCTTTTACTTATTATTAAAGATCTAATATCTACAATTTTGTTAAAATACATAGTGAAAATTTGCAAATGTACCAAAAGATAGTCCTAATACCTACTTCTTGACTACTAAATGCTCACTTTTTATAAAGTTTATATTTTTTTTATAATCTAATTATACTTTGTAATGGAGAAAGCTCATTCGAAATTAGTCAGAAAAGGCAAAATTACAGGATTTCCAGGTAAGTGAGGTTATTCAATTTATTCCGTAAGAGTAGGGTTTATTCGTTTGTAGACTTCATGGTACTTTAAGAGAGAATAATAGGAGAGCACATTATCACTTAGATGAAAGTAAACTCAATAATCCTTTTCAATGTTCTGGATGAATTGAAATCTATGAATACAGAAGAATAACAGCTCGACAAGCCCTCAGCACAAATTTTGAGTTAACAGTTTTATCACCCACAACGGAAACTTCAAAAAATCATCACTTAAGGGTATATCTTCAGATTCAGAACTTGATAGGAAATCAAAAAAATGCTTTGCAATGGGGCTGTACGAAAACAAATAATTTGTTGCGCCCTGTGATGTCATCGAGACCGATAGCTCCGGAGTTCGTGTTGGAAATGATATTTTGTTCATGCAAAGCAGGATGTAATAAGCTCTGCAGCTGTAAGAAGTCTGCTATAGTATATCTATGTATCAACTCATGAATTGATTTGGGGCTTGTTATTTTAGTGAAGCATTT